CCAGCCCGCCCGCTCTCCACCTGGATCCCACCGGGATAGACCCCGACCCACGCCCTGCGGCCCGCGGTCGGCGCCCTGAGACCTGCTTCTGGAGCGGGTCCCTTGGCACCGTGGGGCGAGGCCGAAGGAGCCCACAGGGCCCCTGTGTCTGCTAAGAATGGGCCCTTCGAAGTAGAAATCGGGTGGGGGCCTTGAGTCCCGTCTCTAGAAAGCAGGCAGGGCTGGAGGGGAGGCGCCCAGGGGCGGGGCTTGCGTGGAGCTGGGCGGAGACTGAGGGCGGGGTCCAGGTGAGGGGCTGCGGGGAGGCGTTCCCTGGGCCCGGGGAGAGGCGGGTCCTCCGACAGCCCAGGGAAGCTCTCCAGGCTGGTGGCTCTCAGCCCTCCAGTCCGGCTTCTCCCTGTCCCTGTCCGGGGTTATGATGTTTCTCTTCCGCTTTACCACCTGGGCACCTGTGAGCTCCCCACAGCCTGTCCTGAGCTGGAATGTGGGCTGGTTATTCCAGGCCCCTCCCCCGAATCTCTTCCTCCAATCTCCCCTGGGTTCCAGCTTCCCCCCTCCTGCCTGCCCCCTTTAGGGGAAAGGGCGCCTGTGACTCCAGTTTCTCCCAGTCCAAGTGCTGCCTTATCAGCCGTGGTTGAATCCAGAGCTGGGGCCAGGTGGATGGCCCTTGGAGAGCAAAGCCAGGAGCCCTTGCATACCTCCTCCCAGGGGGCTCACAGCAGGGGTGCCATCCGTATTTGCTGATATTTAGGACGGGAGGAGAGACACTGGATGGAACAGGTGGTACCTGGAAAGGGGGCATGGTGATCCTAGGAATCATCTGTGAGAGGCTTTTCTACCTCCTGGATGGGCTTCTGGAGGCCCTGGGAGCAGAACGTGGCACTGTGCACTGGGGTGGGATGCCAGCACCCGTGTGTCTTCTTGTGAGACCTGCAGTGGAAGTGTGAGGTGTGCGGGAGAGTGTCCAGGTGCGTATGTGAGACTGGGACTGGGAGAGTGTCCATGCCCTTTCCGAGGACCCCTTTGGGGAGCTCCCTGAGGAACTCACGAACCCTCTGTTGGTCCCAGGGCCCGCGGTGGGCCCAGAAGAAATGCCCAGTGAGGCTCTGGTTCCCCAGCTGGGGGGACCATGTGGGATGCGTGAGGGACATCAGGTTTAGCGAGTGGAGGCCACATTCCAGCCTGGGTATCCTCGGAGCTGGTAACCAGGATGCAACCAGGATTCCCCTGGAACACCTGCTGCTGCCCCTCCCAACCAGACGGAAGCTGGGATTATTCCATCCGGCTGCCTTGCCACCGGCCTGGCTTTCCGATCAAGATCACGGTCGCAGGCAAGGCGGCTCCTGGGTTCCGGGGGCTCTCATTCCCTGGCCAGGGCTTCCTGGTTCTGGACCTCAGGAACCCTAGGAGACTCAGAAGGAAACCAGAGTGGATCCAAGCAGCCATACATAATCACCCCCAGTAAGAAGTGGGACCACAGAGGGGAGGGCACAGGTCATTCCTCTGCCCCCACAGCATCCAACCTCCCTGGAAATGGCTCCGGTTCTGCCTGCTTCCTGACCCTCACTTCCATAGTTCCTGGTGAGAGAGGGGCTGGAGGAGGCAGGAAAGGGAACAGGAGACAATCATGCAGTCAGAATGTTAGGGCTGGAAAACCATACCCATCATTTGGTCCTGTAAACATTTTGTGGGGCCGTGACCCCACCCCCCCACCCCCGCCGGGAATCTAATAAAAGGTATGGAACTGTCCTCAGAAAAATGTGCCCACACACAATTTCATACCATTCATGCAGCCCCTGAGTCCCACCTGAGCATCCCTGGGAGGCTCCTGGAGTTTTTACTGGTAAGGAAATCAAGGCCTAGAGAGGGAGGGTGGCTTGCCCAGAGTTCATGTTAATTTGTGGTAGGGCCTCAGAGTGTGGAAATATCAGAGGCTCAGAGTGTTTTACTGTGGCCTGGGACACATGCATCCCCCTCCCCCCAATTACTTACACACACACACACACACACACACACACACACACACACCCTAGACAGGGGCAGGAAGGGACGGTTTCCAGGGAGAGGGGATTGTGAGATGTGCAGGCAGGTCCAATCCAGTTCCAAGCAGCTGGTGCCTGGGGGCATGGAGATGAGATAAAGCCTCCCAGCTCACAGCGCGCTGAAGCTGGCTGTACACACTGAGGCTGGGCTGCAGTAGACTGCCCTGTGGTGGGGGAGGCCAGTTCTGGCCCCTCTGCTCACCTGCTGCACACTGTCTCCCATAAGCCCAAGCCTCGAAGTCCCCCCAAAGTTGACCTGTGGAGGCACCACGCTGCTCCCTGCCCCCCTCTTTAGGATGGCATGGGCACTTACTAACGGGTAAGCAGCCCACCCCAGGCACCCTCCCACTAAGGTCCTTTTCCTCCTGCCCCATGACTGGGACCCTTTGGAGCAACCAGACCTCCTCCCAACCTCAGCCTCCTCCTCAGTTCACTAACTTCCCTGGGAGTTGGCTCTTTCAGGAATGGGCTTCTTGGTGACAAGGGACAAGTGGCAGCTGCTTCTCTCTTTCCCCATCCTTGGGGCAGGCGATGGTGAGCACATGGAGACCATTCTGGTGGAGGAGGAAGTGACCCCACGTCAGGAGGACCCTGGTGCCTTGCACCAGCCTCTATCATCACCGGCGCCTGGGCTGGCGGCTGGACCTGTCCGGGAGTGGACGTGCAGGGCTCTGTCCCATCTACAAGTGAGTGAGGGTCGGAGTCTGGGCTGGCTGCCCCGCAGGAGAGAGCAAAGGGGCCACATCCGGAAACTGGGGGAGGACTGGTGGTGATCTGGAGAAGCAGGCATTTGGGAAGTAGGTCTGGGTGGGCTCTCAAAGGGCAGAGCATGAGGGATGGGGGTAGTGGGTGAGTGGACACCACTAAGAGCAGCCCATGGAGATGCTTGATGCCTCCTGCCTGTGTCTACCCTCCGGGCGGCTCCCCAGGCATCTCATGGGGGAGATGAAGACCAAGAAAGGGGAAATCACTTGATAAAGTTCACTCAGAGAGTAAGGTGACTAAGATTGAATGACCATCCAGGCCAATTCCCAGGGAGGGGGGATGGGCTGGGACACTCACATCTCCTCCCTTCTGCCTGCTCCATGGAGCCAGGCCCCGGGAAACACGACCTGTTGCATGGAACAGGACAGTGAGGGCCTGCTGCCCAGGCTGGGGAGGCACCCACCGCACCCTGGGTAAGTGCCTGAGGTTAGCCCGGATCTGTAGTGTCATGGAGGTGGCAGGCTGCTTGGGGAGTGAAGCTGGGTCCAGACTGACTGGGTCCACCCCGTTCTCTCCCTGTATCCACCACAGCCCTTGCAGAAGCCAGCCCCAAGGGCGACTGCGTTGCCACACGGAGTGCCAGCCTTGGGCAGGCTCAGCTCATGCATCTGCAGGAAGCCTGGGGGAATGCTGTGCCCAGCCTTGGGGACCCAGCTGGTGGGATGAACGCTCCCAGGCCTGCCTCAGCTGCTCCAGCCTACGGCTTCCAGGTGGGTCCCAAGCCTGTCAACAGCACAGTCCCAGCTGTCACCCGCTCCCTAGGCACTCCCACGTGGAGTTCTTGAGCTCTGGGCCTTTCCACAGGGCCCAAGTCCACTCCCCTGTCCTCTCAGATGAGTCACCTCCCATCCCCTGCCCACCAGAGTGACCGTGACTGTCCACCTGCTTCCTCCACCCTCCGCCCCCACATTTAGAGGCTCACGGTGGTGCCTCTCCCCCAGGCAGCACCCAGTCTCCAGCCCTGCTGCAGCCCCTGGCAGGGGCCGTGGCCCAACTCTGGAGCCGGAGCCAGCGTTCCTCGGCCACCTGTGCCACCTGGTCGGGCTTCCACTACCGCACCTTTGACAAGCGCCACTACCACTTCCTGGGCCACTGCACTTACCTGCTGGCAGGTGCTGCTGACTCCACTTGGGCTGTCCACATCAGGCCCAGGGGCCATTGTCCCCAGCCTGGGCACTGTCAGCAGGTGAGGGAGGGAGATGGGGATGGAGACAGGGAGGGAGCTGGGTGTGGGAGGAGGAGAGACACTGACCATCTCACCCATGACCGGTCTCCTCCCAGGTCCGGGTGATGATGGGACCAGAGGAAGTGCTGATTCAGGGTGGAAATGTTTCTGTGAATGGGCAGCTGGTGCCTGATGGGGAGTCTCAGCTGCTCTCCGGTGAGGGACAGTCTGCCCACACCCAGGGTGGGGCTCAGAAGGGGCAGCTGGGGACTGAGCTTGCTGCTGCCTCCCCGACCCCCACCGCTGTTGGGAGGCATTTGGAAATGAGGGAGCCAGGTGTTATGGACCTAGTCCCCGCCCCCACACCTGCAACCAACCCCCACCAGCTCCCTCACAAGGTGACCTGGGGCGAGTCTTTCTACTTAACCACTTAACCTCTCTGAGCCTCAGTTTCCCCCACCTGCCTCCCAGTGTGGTGAGGAAGGCTTTGGTGCTAGGAGATGGGACACACACACACACACACACACACACACACACACAAAACCTCACTCCCATCTCACTCCATGGACCACAACCAGGACGAAAATTCTGGTAAGAAACTGTCCCATCTACTAGCACCAAAGCCAGCATTCGTGAACTTCTCAAGGAGGGCTGTGATGGGAAACCAGTGGGGCTTCTTTAAAGAATATTAAGTGCAGAACTCTCCAGAATGGTGAGAATCCCTCATTTCCCCTTCCCTGGGCAGTCTGAGCCCTAGTGCGATGGTGGGAGGGGTGGGCAGTGTGACCCCCACTTTCCCTGCCCAGGGCTGAGCTTGCAGTGCTGTCAGGGGCCTGGGGGTCGTTGTGCGGCTGGATAGGTCCAGTTCGATCTCCGTTTCTGTGGACCACGAGCTCCGGGACAGACTCAAGGCCTCTGTGGGCTCTACAATGGTCGGCGTGAAGGTAAGTGGGTGTGGTATTGTGGCTGGTGTAGGAGGCAAGGGAAGACCTGAGGCCTCAGACAGCACCTCCGCTTTCTCCCTCCCCCAGATGACTTCTTGGAGCCAGGAGGGGGGCTGGCGCATTAGCTGCCACCTTTGGGAATTCCTGGAAGCTGCCTGACTCAGAGGTGAGATGCAGCCCTCAGGGAGCCTGGGCTCCCTTGCTCCCCACCTGCCCACCCACGCCTAGCTTCTCTGACACCTTCAAGCCTCTGTTCTGTCTCCTGCAAGAGACAGTTCCTGGGCCTCTCCCAGATCCTCAGGGAAGAAAAGGCAGGCTCGGGGTCCCACAGGAGCTCAGTGTAAGGTGCTGTCCACAGCCCTGGCTCCCTACACCCAGGGGACACACTCACTGACCTGGCTACCAACCAGTTTTGGTTAATCAGCTAGTCATCAAACCTCCTGCCTGTGGGTTGACAGTGATGCCAGCTCCCCTGCCCCGACCCCTGGCTTGCCACTTTGCTGCCCCTCCCCGTCATAACGGGGATGGTGTCTGGGTTGCGTGTCATGACGGTGGAGTTTTGAAGCAGCTGTGAAAGCAGTGGCTATTTTCCTGGTGTCCTTGTGAATGTGCCTCATCCCTGCCCCCTGTCCTGACTCCGATTGTCCCCAGGCTGGGTGTCTGGATGCGGTGGAGGCAGCACAGGGCGGCGAGGAGCCTCTGAGGGGCACCGAGGTGGGCACGGAGGCTGGCCAGTTGCGGGCCAAAACCCAAGATGTATGCCACCAACTGCTGGATGGTCCATTCAGAGAATGCCATGTCCAGGTATAGGTGGGGGTGGAGATAGCGCCTGGCATCAGAGGGGCTGAAAAGAGGGGGTGCTGGGGAGGTGCCAAATGGGGAATCTGGTCCTGCCATTGGTCAAGCCCTCCTACTCTCTGTCCTGGGTTTTACCTCTGGGGAATGAGATTGCTCGTATGTATGAGCTGTGAGGTCCTCTACAGCCCTCATCTGTTTGGCTCTAAACAGGGGTGGGCGAGATAGCAGCAAGAGGAGGGGGCGGCTGGTTGGCTAAGGGGCTGTCCTTTCTCGGAAGGTTCCCTCTGCTGAGTACCATGAGGCCTGCCTCTTTGCCTACTGTGCTGGGGCCCCAGCAGGCAGTGGGAGAGAGGGCCGCAGGGAGGCTGTGTGTGCCACCTTGGCCAACTATGCCCAGGACTGTGCCAAGCGTCACATCCACGTGCTCTGGAGGAAGCCCGGCTTCTGTGGTAGGGTTCCTGCCTGTGCCTCCAGGCCTCCCCGCCCTGCAGGATTGGGAACTGAGGGAGGGCCGTCGTGTGACCCCTACTTCTGAGTGCTCTGGCGCCTGCTGAGCCCCCAGCGAGGCCTCCAGGCTCCTCAGCCCAGTGGTGCCTGGCGGGAGGAGGGGGGCTCCTGGGCCTCACAGCCACTCCTGTGCCTGCAGAGCGCCTGTGCCCCGGAGACCAACTGTACTCCGACTGCGCCTCGGCCTGCCCGCCCAGCTGCCCCACGGTGGGCGAGGGCGGGGAGGGGTCTTGCGGAGAATGCTTGAGCGGCTGCGAGTGCCCGCCCGGCCTCTTCTGGGACGGCGCCCTCTGTGCCTGCCTCCCAATGTCCCTTCTATTACCGACGCCAGCGCTACGCCCCCGGCGACACCGTGCGCCAGCTGTGCAACCCGTGCTGGGTCCGCAGGTGTTGCTGGCCCTTTCGCTGGGCTTGGAGACCGCCCCATCCACTCTGGTCCCTCCCATGTGCTATCTCCTCAACCTGCTTTTCCGTCTGGGGACCTCTCACAAGTTGCCTGTGGCCTGTGCCCTCTCAGGGCATAAGTGGTGGCCCTGCTTGAAGACCTAGCTGGTGACCTCCACCAGCTGACTCTAAGCCTAATGGGAGGAGGAGGTGCCAGGGGCGGGAGACACCTGGTGTTGGGGACCGGAGTCGTCTCCACGCTCTATGCATAACCCTCCCTGGGCTGATCCAGAGGGCGCTCTCTCACCCCTTGTGCTCACAGCGTGTGCCAGGCCGCTGGCTCTCCGCGCGGGCTCCGTGCCCTTCCGAGTGCGCGGTGGGCGGGGACGGGCACTACCACACCTTTGATGGGCGGAGCTTCTCCTCCATCCAGGTGCAGGCGAGGTGGGGGCGTTGGGGGGGAACTAACTGCGGGCAGGGGAGGGGAGTAGGCGAATCTTACTAGAGCAGGCCCCTTCGTAGGGCTGCTGTGAGGGAGAAATGACCATGCAAGGGTGGGGCTGTGGCCGTGTAGGGCCCGCTAAATCATTTGGTCTGGCCCTGCCAAGGCATTAGAGGTGAGTTAATTAAATGTTTGAACAAATATTGCAGGCTAATTTAAAAGAAATACTTTTAGGAAGGGGAGAGATAGAAACATCAATGATGAGAGAGAATCATTGATCGGCTGCCTCCTGCACGCCCCCTACTGGGGATCGAGTTTGCAATCCGGGCATATGCCCTTGACCAGAATCGAACCCCGGACCCTTCAGTCGCAGGCTGGCGCTCTATCCACTGGGCAAAACCGGCTAGGGCAGCAGGCTAATTTTTAAGATGATAATTTTGTATGGCTCCAGAATGATGTAAATACCCAAATGGCCCTGGGCAGAAAAAGGTTCCCCACCCCTGCAAGAAACCACTAAATAAGTGAACAAAATGCACACAGTTGTCCAGGGAAAAGCTGAGGGGGAACCGATTTTGGAGGGAGGATGGCTGCAGCAGACACCATGTAGTCTCCCCTTTGGGTTCTCACCTCCTCTTTAGGTTCCTGTGAAAGTACTGCTGTCATCACCACCACATCCAGAGGCACAAAGCAAAATCCATGCTTGCAGTCCTTTCTCACAAATTGGACAGGGTGGGTTTGTCATAAGCTACTTCGTGCAAAATAGTCCCAGGGCCAATAAGGGACCTTCTTGGTCCCCTAGTAAAATTGAGTGACGTCTCAGGTTCAGTTCTTACACACACAAGCACAAACAGGTGTGCACAGATGACATATGCTCCTGCATATGCATATAGATTGATTTAACATGTGCATACACATAGACACACACAGACATGAGCATACATACCCAGGGGGAGTAAAGAAGGGAGCCAATGCACATGTGAGTCTGGCTGGCTGGAAAGTGGTCAGCGCACATTAGTGGGATCTACCTCCAGGTGTGAACTGGAGGTGGTCTGCAGAACACCTGTTCTCAGGTGTGCCCCTCCCCCCATTCCTCACCGTCTGCCCCAGGACTTGGCCAAGGGGTAGCTGTTGATCGTGCTGGAGCATGGAGCCTGCGACTCTGGGGGCTGCCTCCACGCCATCTCTGTCTCCCAGGGGGATGCCCACATCCAGCTCAGGGACTCAGGTAGCCTTGGCTCACAGGGCACCTACCTACTAGGCCTTCCCTCCCGACAGCCCTCAGAACTGTGGCTCATGCCCTAGCAGCCTCCTGTTACTGCTCCTCTCCCTGCAGACTCTGGCTCATTCCAGCACTTTCTGTCCACACTGCCCTGTGGTTTCTGAATCGCAAACCTCCCCTCAGATTTCCCAAACCAAACTTGTTGCTTCCATTTCCCCTAAGCCCCCCATCTCCGAAGCAGACACACAGTCCTTTGGGAAACTTCCAAGGCATCTTCTGCTCCATCCTTGGGGGTGGGGGTTGCAAGTTCTGAGAAGTTGGACACCAGGCCAGATAGGTCCCTCCCAGTTCGGATGCTGAGCCCACAGTCCCTCCATCTCCCTTCCCTGCATCTG